AGACTTCCTATCCGCATCCGATCCGCATCCGCAGACTTCCTATCCGCATCCGATCCGCATCCGCAGACTTCCTATCCGCATCCGATCCGCATCCGCAGACTTCCTATCCGAATCCGATCCGCATCCGCAGACTTCCTATCCGCATCCGATCCGCATCCGCAGACTTCCTATCCGCATCCGATCCGCATCCGCAGACTTCCTATCCGCATCCGATCCGCATCCGCAGACTTCCTATCCGAATCCGATCCGCATCCGCAGACTTCCTATCCGAATCCGATCCGCATCCGCAGACTTCCTATCCGAATCCGATCCGCATCCGCAGACTTCCTATCCGCATCCGATCCGCATCCGCAGACTTCCTATCCGCATCCGATCCGCATCCGCAGACTTCCTATCCGCATCCGATCCGCATCCGCAGACTTCCTATCCGAATCCGATCCGCATCCGCAGACTTCCTATCCGAATCCGATCCGCATCCGCAGACTTCCTATCCGAATCCGATCCGCATCCGCAGACTTCCTATCCGAATCCGATCCGCATCCGCAGACTTCCTATCCGCATCCGATCCGCATCCGCAGACTTCCTATCCGCATCCGATCCGCATCCGCAGACTTCCTATCCGCATCCGATCCGCATCCGCAGACTTCCTATCCGCATCCGATCCGCATCCGCAGACTTCCTATCCGCATCCGATCCGCATCCGCAGACTTCCTATCCGCATCCGATCCGCATCCGCAGACTTCCTATCCGAATCCGATCCGCATCCGCAGACTTCCTATCCGCATCCGATCCGCATCCGCAGACTTCCTATCCGCATCCGATCCGCATCAGCGAAATTCGGAACCGCATCCGACTCTCAATCCGCGCAGAAATTTTACATCATAAAATCAAGCATAAATAAACATTTAAAAAAAAAACAACATCTGGATGGTATTCTATAAGCCGTCTGCTTACTTTTCTACAAAGAACTCCCCGTGTAAGAATACGGCGAGTCATTTTATCGTATTCTGTTTTAACGTATCTATTATATAAACGATCATCCTTCCAATAACACTTCACATCACTGGAAAGATGATCGCATTAATTAGATCGTCATGGGAGTTCGTGGCACAGACACTCTGTCCAGCATATGGGCTCAAAAGGAAGGAAATTTATATATTTTTTTTTTGCTTTGTAAAACACATTTCAAACCGACGCATATTTATAAACATGAAAATTGTCAAAAGACAGACTATTTATTACATTGTAATTTTTTTTAGGCCAAGCAATAAAAAAGTGGGAGAGGAAAGGCAGTCGCTCGTAGCAGCAAAATACTCGTGCATATATGGTAAGGCGCGAGTTCACCACTGGGAAAATATCGCAATATTCAATAATGGCAGCACCTCCTATCGGCTAGCGTTTAAAGCACGAACCCTGACCTGCATGCTCGGAATCATATACTTAAAAACAACTCAGCCTTTTTCTTTCTTTACTTTTTCCTCAGCTAAGTTAGCTCTTTGCAAATTTTACAAAAAAAAAAAATGCATCCGTGGGCAACGCTGCACAAAATCGTCGCGCGATCGCACGACGGTCGCACACGTTTATGGGCCGCCTCCGCAGAAATGGATCCAGACCCGCGGATATCCGCACCAGATCCGCAATCCGCCAAATCATCTCCACTTTTTTCCGAATTCGCCAGTTTACTGCGGATATTCGCAGATATCCGCGGATAAACCGCGGATATGCAGGGCTCTAGCCAGATGACATCTTACCATTTTGCTCGCGGTGGTTTTCTTTCAGCATTGTTTTGCAACGCATGAAAAAGCGTCTCCAGGGTCTTTATGTTCAGATTTGTTAGGCTTATTAAAACTAGCCACCTCAACCGTATTTTTTTTTTTTTTTTTGCGCGTGAAAATTTGTTTTTTTGGCACTTTGGTGGTTTCTTGAGCACTTTTCTTGAGGTTACGACATGAAGCCAATTTGCTCGCGGCTTTCTTTCTTCTTCTTTTTTTTCTTTTGGCTTATTGCGCGTAGAAGAGCCTCTCCGGCACCAGTTCTTGGCCACGGTGGAAGAAGGAAGAGGTGTCTGAACCACGAGCTACTGTAATCCTGACCTCCACACAGAATGGCCCCCCACGGCAGGGGCTGTCGCCGAAAAGTGCCTCACTTTGCCTTCGGAGGCGCTCAGAAAATACCTTTCTGCGACCTAAACGTGGTTCACAGCCTGTCTATAGCGAACGGTCTGCGCGGCACACGGCTGGTGATATTTGATTACCGTTTTTCGGGAGCGTCTGCTGTAGCGTGGTGCCAGCAGGTGCAGTAGCGCTGCAGCAGGACGGATCGCTCTGATGTTTGCTTTGATCGAAAGAACGCGTTTCCGAGGCACGGAAGCGCAAGAGTGTTTTTTTTTTGCTCCGACTTTTTTTTTTTTTTTTTTTTTGTGAAACGCTATTGGGACTACAACATCATTGAAACAAGGCGCATACTGGATCGCCCATACATAGACACTGTGCTGGCAGCC